GGGAGGATGTTTATATCTGACACCACTCTGGAATATCAGAAAGAATAATTCTATAATTAATGGGAAGGCTCCCTGGGGGTGTTTCCTTTAATTAACACAAATTGAGGCTGAGTCTGGAATTCCCTCATATTTTATTACAGAGGAAGTCAGATGAGAGGAGGAAAGAGGCTGTCTGCTTCACAACTCAGTATTATTATTTGTGATCTTTTTATACACTTTATCTCCCCAATGCATGAGATGAAGAAGTGGAGGATGGGGAACACAAGCCCAAAAATGATTTTGCAGAGGCATAGTATACCTGCATAGCAATAATAGCAAGCATGTCAAGAAATATATTCTCTGCCTATGGTAAATTCCTGGTATCAAGGACCACTTGTGTTCTCTGGCTGAGTTTGTTCAGCTGCCCCCAAATGAGTGGACCTGACTTTGTGGTGGATGACAACACAGGGGGAGGTGATGAGGCCTGTGGAATAGAAATACCAAGATTCTACATCTACATACTACTTGCTTCCCATTCTTTCCTATTCTTTTCTGGGTTCTCAATAGTCTGGATTCCAGATTGGAGTTTCTGCATTCTGTGGATAAAAACAATCATATTCTCTTCCAAGGTGATTAACCCGTCTAACCCTTTCCAGGTGCATTTTAAAAGATCCTTCCACATCATAGTCTGTTGGAGGTTCAGCCCAATGTTTTTGCATAGGAGTAAATCCTTTATCATCTATGTTAATATGATTAATGGTAAATAAAGCATGGGCTAATAATTGATGAGGTGAATAATAAAGAACACTGGATATTAATCTTTGAAGTTGTAACTTAAGATTTTGATGAGTCCTTTCTATGATAGCTTTACCTTTGGGTGTTGTACGGAATTCATGTTATCTGTTATATACCACACTGAATGCAAAACTTTGAAAAGCTTGAGAAGTATAAGCTGGAGCATCATCAGTTTTAATTCTGTTTGACAGACCTAACAAAAAGCGTAAAACAAGATGTTGTATGACACCTTTCACAGCCTCACCAGTTCTTGCAGTGGCCATGTCCCCATGAGACTACTTGCCTATAGTAACATGCACATAAGCCAATATTCCAAATGCTGGGATATGAGTTATATATATTTGTAACAAAAATCGAGTCTTGAGGCCCCTTAGATTAATTAACTCCCATTTTCTTGAGTGATGTACAACAGGACAAGGTTCAATATTTGCCTAACCTGTTCTCCAGTAAAATTGAACATACTTCTCAAGGCCAGTGCATACTGGTAATGTAAATCATGACTTTCTAATGCTTGTTTCACCATACTAGCAATCAAGTGTTACTTTGTTAATAAATCTGCTATCGCATTACATGAAGCCTGTGGACCTAGGAGGTCAATATGTCCTCTGACATGTCCTATAAAAATTATTCTGTTTCTTGATTGAATTAGAATTTCCAAATATAAAACCTGTCTCTGCATCAGGAAATAAACAACTACATATTTGGAATCTGCATTAAGATTAAACTCTTCAAGTATGTGTTCAAGGGCAACAATAACTGTTGTAATTTCTGCCTGCTGTGCTGAAATTTCTTTTGTACTTTTAATAACTACAGATTTATCTTTTCTATTGGCAGATGAAGTTTCATTGCATGACCCATCTGTGAATACCAAATGGGCATTAGAAATTTGTTCCAATGCTATTTTGAGAAGATCATCTCTGCTTCTTCTACAAACTTTAATATAGGGAAGTTGAGGCACATTATTTTTTATTTGTCCCATATAATAAGCGAATAAAATTCCCCAATAATCTACAGAATGAAGTAAATATTCCAATTTCCCAAGGTTCTTAACCACCTCTTAATAAATGAGAGGATAAGATATTATTTTCACATGAGGATGAAAGAAACATATCATTCTAGGACACCTTTTTGTTATACATTTTCAGGAGGGGTGTGAGATATTTTAAGTATAATAAGGGATCATGGTTTTAGATACTTTGTTTTCACTTTGAATCTTGCAAATTTTTTATTAATTCTAATTATTTTAAAGTTTCTTTTGTAAACTCTCTTTTAGATTTGGGATCCGATTAACATTTAATTACAAATAAATGATGCAATGTCATGTGGTAATTTTTAGATGAGGTCTATTTGAATTGATATTTTCCCAATAATTTTTGAAAATCATTAAGTGCCTACAATTTATCAATCCTAAGTTGCAATTTTTCAGAAATGATACATTCAATATGAATTGTTCCTTATAAATAATTTATTGGTGTGTTATGTTGAAGTTGGCACGGGCAATAATGAACTCATGCTGAGTCAATACCTCAATCATATTCTTCAAAATCAATTCATTTAAGTCCTTTGCTTTTTCTGCTGTAAGTATGTCATCCATATAATGTGATACAAAACACTTTCATATTTAGCTATAATGGATACTGAGGCATGATTTATAAATTTCTGACAAATAGTGGATTATTTTCATGCCTTGGGGGAACACTCTCCATTGCTACCTTTGAAATGGACTTTGCAAATTAACAGTGGCTGTGGGAAAATGGCATCTATTTCTGTCTTGTAAGGATTTTTATCATGAAAAGTCAATATCATTTTCCTCTACTTCTTCATTTAGCTGATGTTGTTCCTCATCATTCACTCAGCCATTGCATGGCTGTGCCTTGAGATTAGCAGTAGATGAGGAAGCATTATTTTACTTGGATTCTGTCCTCAGAAAAATTACCTCATCCACTCAGAGTGCTTTTTTTTTTTTTTCGAGACAGGGTTTCTCTGTAGCTTTGGAGGCTGTCCTGGAACTCACTTTGTAGACCAGGCTGGCCTCAAACTCACAGAGATCCGCCTGCCTCTGCCTCCCTAGTGCTGGGATTAAAGGTGTGTGCCACCAATGCCCGGCGTCAGAGTGCTTTTTCTGAATACATTTCCATTTCTGTTTTTTCTGAAAGGAGGTCTCAAATTTGTACCCATAATAAAAATGTATGAACTGGGACTTGTTTAGGGCACATGGCATTCATAAAATTTCCTTATATCTTGTGATGCAATGTAAAATCCTAAAATGCTGCCAAACTCTTCTATACCAACTCTTCTTTCTAACATATTGCTCAACACTTCCAAGAACAAGCTTCTATCCTAGGACTGTGAATGCCCAATTATGTTTATTTTCTCACCATCTTAACTTGATGTCTTCTCTACCAAAGAGTCTGGGGGCACTTTAGAGAGGTTCTGTCCTTACCTGGAAATGTATATTTTAGGAAAAATAGAGAAAATGGAAGAGAAAGCTGACCTACTTCATGTCCCACATTGAGGTCCCCAACTGCCACAGACTGACCCCCAGCCATGTATGGGAGTCAAATGGTATGAAAGTTCTCTAAGAATATAAGGGTAAGGATTTGTCAGTAGCAAAACAAATACAGAGACAAAATGGAAGCCCCAAAGATTGTTTATTTTGCAGTTCAGAAGCAAGGTTTTTTTTTAATACAGATTCAATCTCAGGGGATGTTGTTGTGAAGCAAACCCAAACAGATGATGTTAGTGTTACTTAACACAGTAATGCAGAAATCCAATATATAAGATCATCCAGGGTTAATCAAAACACAAAATTGTCCTATGTTAAGGATAACCACATATTTCTTAACTCGAGTTACTAAAATTTATGGTCAGCTATGGTTTAACATCAATTACCTAGTTCTTGTAAGTTGATTTAAAATGTTGAGCTGTTTTAACTCTGTTATTCAAAGCTCTCTTTACAAAATACGTAAGCCCACTCATGATAACAACTGTAAAGTCATATGAAATTGTATTGTTGGGAAAGATTTTATTGTTTGTTCTTATGTGAATGACATGAAGGATTTTGAAAGGATTGGTTTTTCCAAAGATGATGCCAGTGCTTGTGACTCCATCTCAGGGGATGATTGCTTTTTTTAATTTAAATAAGAAACAAGCTTGCTTCATGTTTCAATCCCAGCTCCCTCTTCCTCCCGTTCTGCCCTACTCCCCACCATATCCTAATCCCCACACCACGGAGGGTGAGGCTCTCCATGGTGGATCTCCAAGGTCTGCCTTATAATCCAGGACAGGCCTTAGGACCACCCCCATGTGTCCATCCTGAGAGAGCATTCCTCTATGTGCAATAGGCTCCCAAAGTTTATTCCTATGCCAAGGCTAAATACTGATCTAGTACCAGAAGCCCCAAAGATTGTGGAGGCCTCCTCAGTGACAGCCACATTCAGGGAGTCTGGGAAATGGGGGAAAATGAGGGGGGAAGAGATGGGAAGAGGAGGAGATGGGGCAGAAGGATGAGTTGGGGAAGAATAGAGGATAGCAGAATGATATATACCATAACAGATGGAGTCAGTACAGGTTTGGGGAAAGATCTGGTACTAGTGAGATTTCCAGCAATCTACAGGGATTGTTTCTTATCTATTGCTTTTGTTTAAAATGTCAGCATATGGTCTTAGGAACATGTCATATGAAAAATGAATAGAAGAACAAGCAGAAATTGCAACAAGAAACATGGCATAATATTTTCTTCCAGCAGAGAATTTCACAAACAGTTCTAGGAAACCTCCTTCATTTATCACCTCAGTTTGTTGAACTTGTAACACAGTGTATTTTATGTGATTTGACAGAACTCTGCCATCAACTTGGTTTTCTTCCAGTATGTTTTCTTTTATGTACTTGAAGATGACTTTGCTTAGCAAAGGCTTTACCACACTGAGTACATTCATATGGTTTCTCTCCAGTATGTGTTCTTTTATGCAATTGAAGATGAACATCCTGTGCAAAGGCTTTACCACACTGATTACATTCATAGGGTTTCTCTCCAGTATGTGTCCTTTTATGCAACTGAAGATGACCCATCTGTGCAAAGGCTTTACCACACTGATGGCATTCATAGGGTTTCTCACCCGTATGTGTTCTTTTATGTATTTTAAGTGTACTGCTCTGAATAAAGGCTTTACCACACTGATTGCATTCATAGGGTTTCTCTCCTGTATGTATTCTTCTGTGAACTTGAATATAACTATACACAGCAAAGGCCTTGCCACACTGATTACATTTATAGGGTTTCTCTCCAGCATGGGTTCTTTTATGTACGTTAAGATGACCAAGCTGTGCGAAGGATTTCCCACACTGATTACATTCATATGGTTTCTCTCCAGTATGTGTTCTTTTATGTATTTGGAGGGTCCTGAGATGAGCAAAGGCTTTCCCACACTCATTACATGCATAGGGTTTCTCTCCAGTATGTGTCCTTTTATGTACTTTAAAATCACTGTGCTCAGCAAAGGCTTCACCACACCGATTACATTCATAGGGCTTCTCTTCAGTATGTGTTCTTTTATGCCTTTGCATATGACTGATATGAGCAAAGGCTTTCCCACATTGATTACATTCATAGGGTTTCTCTCCAGTATGTGTCCTTTTATGCACTTGAAGATGACCAAGCTGTGCAAAGGCTTTATCACACTGATTACATTCATAGTGTTTCTCTCCTGTATGTGTTCTTTTATGTATTTTAAGTGTACTGCTCTGAACAAAGGCTTTACCACACTGATTACACTCATAGGGTTTTTCTCCAGTATGGGTTCTTTTATGTATTCGAAGATGACTGTGCTGTGCAAAGGCTTTACTACACTGATTGCATTTGTAGGGTTTTTCTCCAGTATGGGTTCTTTCATGTATTTGAAGATGACTGACCTGTGCAAAGGCTTTACCACACTGATTACATTCATAGGGTTTCACTCCAGTATGTGTCCTTTTATGAACCTTAAGATACATGTTCTTTGCAAAGGCTTTACCACACTGATTACATTCATAGTGTTTCCCTCCAGTATGTGTTCTTTTATGAATTTGCAGGGTCATGGGACAAGCGAAGGCTTTCCCACACTCATTACATGAATGGGGTTTTTCTCCAATATGTGTGTTTTTATGCGTTTGAAGATGACTGTGGCATAGGTAGACTTTACCACATTGATTGCATTCATGGACTTTCTGTACAGTATGTGTTCTTTCATGACTTGGAAGCTGATTATCATATACAGAGCACTTATGATATTGAATTTGTGCTGACAGTTTCTCTCTGGTTGGATTTCTTTCATGCCTGTAAGGACAATTGATACAAGTAAAAGATTTACTGCATTCACATCTTCTGAGAAGTGAGCTGGGGATGGACTAGGGGGAGAGAAGAAGTGGGAGGAGGCAGGAGGGCAAGAGGAGGGGTGAGAGGGAGAACTGTGTTTGGAAGTAAAAGGACATCAAGATTTTAAAAAGTAAAACTTTTTAAATAAACTGTTAAGTATGATTTAACTTTACAATTTGGTCTAATTCTAAAGACTAACCAGATATTAACCTTATTTTACTTTGTTTATATTCATGGTGTTCCCCTTCATTAAGGATTTTTGGCATATTTGAAGATTCCTGTCATGCTAAGAACCTTTATTGCCTGGTTCTCTTTTAATGCATCTTTTTCTCCATGAGAATTTTCTCATACATGAAGAGAACTGAACAGACTCATATATTTATCCTATTTTTTGCACTGACAAATTTTTCTCTACTGTGACTCAAACTACATTTGTAAAATGAGTGAGGAGAAATGGAAATAATTGCACATTGCTTGTACCCACAGGGCTTTTCTCCAATGTAAGAATGGTGAAATAATCCCAATGAAGGTGTACAGCCAAGCACTTGTACACTTGAATCATGTTCAACAATTCTATTCAACTTGCAGACTACTACACATCTTCTAGTTGTTCTGAGATGGAGAGAAGTACATTGACACTTTCCATGTCCCTTTGCTCATATGGTTTGTACTCTGAGAGACATAAGATATAACTACTAATGGAAGACGAGGAAATAAAAACTGTATCCCTGCAATCACATAGTTTGTCTTTCTGTGCCTCATGGACATAAAGAATAGGGATTAAGGATGTACATAACCACCCCCACCTAGACATGATTCTAACTATCTATATCACACTGTACTTAGCAACATCTATGAGTAAAACTAGCTTTACTGTGGAATATTTGCTGATGAGAATTTGTTGGAAATGGATTTATCACCTTTCAATATGTATACTTTCTGTAATGAGTGGTGTGAAACTAAATGAATTTGCAATTCTTATCAGTATGTCTCTGATAGAGCTGTGACTCAAATAGATCTAAGGCATTCATATCTTATTTTCCTTCCTAAAAGAGGACTTGCAAACATAATTTACTTACCAGATGTTGAGGTACATAATATCATGACAATTTAATGATAATCAATTTACTTTACGGTATAACTATTTATAGTGCTCGTTTTCTTTGTAACTTCTGTATATATTAAATTATCTTCAGAGACAAATTTATGTAAGCATACACATTAAATTTTACCTTCTATGCCTTTGAGAACTTTGACAATGTTCTTCGGTGTTGTTATCTTCCCATATGTAGCCTAAAATATAGGACCAGAAAAAGTGTGACACATTATTGAAAATTGCTTAAAAATTAACTATCAGTGAAACTTAGAAACATGACTGAAGTATTTCCTCCATCTATTTCATTCTCACTCAAAATTACAAAAGACCCTTAATAACTAAGAAATTGTGGGGACACCAGACCTTGAGCAGTGACCCACTTCCCCATCAGCCTAGAAGTAGGCAGCTGTAAGACAATGTTTACTTAAAACAATACAATGCCCAGGGCAATAAGTTCCTGAAAAGGACTGGCCCACAGGAACCACTCTGACCTCGACCTTTTCCAAAGACTAAGCACCTCTTCTGACACACTCAAGTCAGTTTTTTGGTGTCAGAGCAGAACCAGCCAGGGGAAGGAGAGAGCAGAAGCTTTTCTGGAGGGAGGCCATTCTTGGGAAGTTTCTTGAGCCTTTTTGGGGCCTGCTTAAAGTTTTCTTTACACCATTGAACGAGTCTCTGTGTTGTCAATCCCCGACACCCTCCACCCATTCTCAGACACAGGCTACGCAGCAGGCGTGGCAAGAAATATTTGTCCTCTTATCATAAGTAGTGAAATTAAACCCAAAGAATTACCTATTGCATTTAGGTTCATATAGGTCTCCAGCATCACATCTTTGTAGAGATTCCTCTGTGTAAGATCCAGCAAAGCCCACTCTTCCAGAGTGAAGTTGATATGCAAATCTTGATAGGTTACTGCATCCTACAATATGCCATATATGTATAAAACAAAAAAGCATGACTAAGACAACATTGTAAGTGTATACTTCTTTGACACTATCCTCATATAATGATGCACTTTCTCATACTTACTCTATGACACAGGTATTACAATTAGAAGGAGCCTGATAAGGTTTTACCTCTATCATTTCTGAATGCTCTGAAGGGGATATTATCTCAAAAGAGAAGGAACAGTCACAGGGAGAAATGCAAACAGATCAACAGATTGAGTCTATATCTGAGATTGTTTGTCAATAATTACTTAGTATAAAATGTTGAGCAAGCGCAGTATATTGACTCATGCCTTCAGCCCCAACACTCAAGAAAAAGGAGATAGGTATATCTGCATACCAGCTCAATGGTAGCCTAGTCTCCTGAATCTGTTACCGGATAGCAACAGGTAAATATTAAGGACCTGTCTCCCATGCAAAAATCAATGAAATAAACACTAAAGGAAGAAACGAGTTGTATTTATTGCTCAAGTTCCTATATTAAGTTATGTATTCACTCCTGTTCTGTATTTATATTCCAGAAACCTGTAGTCATCCAGTTTAAACTGTATTTTAACAAACCTTACTAAAAGGAATAGAATATTTAAGATTTACGTATTTAAACATAGGCAGTTGAAGACATTAGCAATGTAAATGTTGATCTCAAATAATCAACACAACGCAGGAGAAATGCCACATAAGAGGTCTTACTGCACTTGTAGTGACTTCGGATAACATGACATATCAGGGACCACAATTATCCATTATAACAAATTCATGCATTGTAAGATCATCTTTTCTCTACTTTGAGGACCAGGCATACATGTTATACACATGAATGTATGTATGTAAAGAATCATATTCATTTAACAGATACATATAAACATAGCAGGCAGGAAGAATGTCACACACCTGTAATCCAGTGACTCAGAAGGCTCATGCAGCATTAGTGTAATGAATACTGTTGGGCTGGGAAAGACAATGACATCCTTTGCCAAATTGAAAAATTAAAGCTGGGTATGAAGTTCATCAACACAGCACATGCTTGACATGTACAAAAACTTGCTCTCTAGACCCATCATCCACTAATAAGTATAAAAGTCCCTAAATACATTGGCACACCATTAATCCCAATATTTGGGAGCAAGAGTTACATAAATCTCAGAATTCAAGGCCATGATGGTCTATAAAGTAATTTTTAGGAAATCATATATTATCCTTTTCTTCAGAAACAAAAATAAAACCAACCAAATGAAAAAAAATTAGACTGGTAAAATGTCTAACAATTGAATAACAATTTCCTCACTTGTATCTAATGTGCTTTTGTGATACTATCTTTAATGATGGTGAAGTCATGACAGGCAGATGGCTGTTTAGTGTCAACTACAACACAGTTGAAACAAAATAGGAAATGGGTTGAGAAATCCCATCCCCAATAAGGAATTTCTTCCAGAAATTTTCAGCCTACTAAAGGTTATTATTTTTTTTTTTTTGGTTTTTCGAGACAGGGTTTCTCTGTGGCTTTGGAGGGTGTCCTGGAAGTAGCTCTTGTAGACCAGGGTGGCCTCGAACTCACAGAGATCCGCCTGCCTCTGCCTCCCAAGTGCTGGGATTAAAGGCGTGCGCCACCAACGCCTGGCCCTACTAAAGGTTATACAAGCACCAAAAAGCAGCCAAGTAGAGACTCATGTGTAAATGCAGCATCCTATTGGGAGTTTTTCATTCAGTCAAATAGATGCTGACCTAGTTCACTATAGGCAAAGGGTCATCTATGAAGAAAACCCCAGTGATCATCCTATTCAACAAAAGCCCCTACAGTGTTCAAGTAACTGTACAGTCATTTTTGACACTTAAGACAAAATCATGACTGTGTCATCCTATACAATCAGAAATAAAAGTTACAACTTCCCAACACACAATGACCTACAATATCCATTCCCATTGCAAAGCAGAGAAGTTGAAACATAGTAAGGGAATACTGGACCAAGGCAAGACTGAACCCTGCATGGCTATCATCAAATCTAGTAGCTCCATATCAGACACATGAGGATTCAGTTTCAAAGGTATTAGATGGATCTATCCCCACAACTTCCCAAATAATTTCCTGTTTGGTTATTCCCACTCCACAAATGTAGCTCTCCATGGAATATATCTCATGGCTTAAATGTCCCAGAATCTAAAGTTTCTAATATAACCCACACTTTTTCCTCAAAACATCATGCAACGAACTCTCACAGTAATCTCACTGGAACTCTGAGTCTAAAAAAAAGACACATTCCTAGAACAGTGCTGACCTCAAATGACAGACAAAAACTGCATGGCCTTAATTTTACATCTTTCCTGTTTAAAGAACATGGGCAACATTGATGATCCCAACAATTTGGCCTCTAAATTGTGAAGGACCCTGTCTGATTTGGACCAGAGTTGCAGCAGGTATTGTATAACGTTGCTTCTTGGGCCTAGGAATCTATTTGTTAACCTTTACATTAATAGAGAGCATAGAAGCCCTGTTATCATTTGAGTAATTAGCTGAGCCTTCAACATAAAGCAAGTGTCCTTTCTTTAATTGTGATAATCTCCCTGAAACTTCCAACACCTCTTCAACACTTGAATGCCATCTGGAACTACCTAGTGTTCGTATTCTTTTTTTTCGGTTTTACGAGACAGGGTTTCTCTATATTGTTTTGGACGCTGTCAGTCCAGCCCGGCCTCGAACTCACAGAGATCCGCCTGCCTCTGCCTCCCAAATGCTGGAATTAAAGGCATGTGTCACCACCACCCAGTTTAGTGTTCATATTCTTAACAACCCACAGAAATTTCATTTATCTATGAGCCACTTGCTTTTTGTCCACTATAGTCCTGAATGATTCATCAGCAATAGCTGTCTAAGAGATCAACATTCTGTACAAGAAATAAGGTCATTATTATTTGATTCTGCCTTACTGAAAATCTTGGGGGCATCAGCATAATAGGAAAGGTTAGAGGCCAAATTACCACACAAATTACCTCTAGCTTAATTTACCATGGAATTTATTTCCCACTGAAATCCAAGGACCTAGGTCTCCACTACCTGTCATTCCTCTGAACACACTCAACTTCCAGTTCCTTCCACAGCAGTTGATTAATCTCTGTTTAGAGCTTTCTAAGCATTTTGACATCCAAAGACCTGACATCTTCCACATTCTTCCCAAAGATTAAATTCTTAGGTAATGCTAAACAATAAAATAATGTCTGGTATGCCATTTTTGTTCTACTTTGTTTCTCTGATGCTGTGATTTAATTCTCTAACCAGTTCTGTGAGGGAATATATGGGGGTGTTTCACTGATTCTGTCATATGACAGTCCATCTTTGTAAACACTTTGTATAGAAATTCCAGCTAGCAACTGAAGGCAAAAACCATGAGGAATCTGTTTCCTGGCTTTCTCATTGTGTAGTCATTGTGTCATCTGTTACTAGCTCTCAAATCCAGTCCAGACCAAAGTTCTTAGAGTAATTGCACTCAGTGGAAAGGCCTTCACACACACCAATCATCAATGAAAAAAACCTCTCAAGGAATTTCAGCCAGGTATTTGGATGGGCACACATCCTTAGCTGATGTTCTCACAGATGACTGTAGGCTCTGGTATGTTGACACCTGGAGCTAACTAGCACACAGAGACAATGAATGAGAAGTTATTGAAAAGCAAATACCAATATATCAAACACTTTGCAAACTTAAACAGCATAAAATACAACATTGATGACAATAACTACTGGAAAACAGAGATAAGCCAAGAAATGGTGAGAGAAGACACAAAGATCAAAAACAAAACACTGATTTTTTTTCTCCACAGAAAGTCTCCAAACAAAGACACTCAAGGAACTCAAAATATAGTAACATTTCAAAAAATAGAAACATGTGAAGGTTTATAATTGTCCAGAGAAAAAAATAATTAAATTATATGTAGTAAAAAATATCACACAACATAGTACCACTGTTTAACTTAAATACAAGTAGGAAAAGAAAACTAACAGTTCCAAGAAACTAACAAAATGTTTATGACCTGAAAATAGTTATAGAAACAATAAAGAAAACACAAATAGGCCTGGTGGTGGTGGCACATGCCTTTAATTCCAGAAATAGGAAAGCAAAGTAAGGAGGATCTCTGTGAGTTCAAGACCAGTCTCGTCTAGAAGACCTAGTTCCAGGATTGCCTCCAAAGCCACAAAGAAACCCTATCTCGATATTCACCCCAATAGAGAAGAAAACACAAATGGGTGAATCCCAGAAAATGAAACATTTAAGACTACAAACAGGAGCACAGAGTCAAGGTTCACCAGTAGAACAGATGGTGGAAGAGAGAATTTTAGGCACTGAAGTTATAGAAGAAATGAACAGATCAGTGAAGTAAAATGTTAAATCTAAAAATTTCCTGGCATAAAACATCCCAGAAATCTGGGACATTAAGCAAAGAACAAACCTAGGAAAGACAGCAATAGAGGAAAAAGAAGAAACTCAGGAAAAAGTGTATATAACATTTTCTATAACAGAAGAAAAATATCCTAATTTAAAGAGGTGCCTATGAAGATACAAAGAATCATGCCAAACATCAAATAGATTGGCCCAGAAAAGAAACTCTCCTTGCCTCATAATAATCAGAAGACTAAACAAAGAGAAACTAGTAAGAATGCTAGTCTCTGCAAACGAAAAACAACAAGTAACATATACAATCAGACCTATGAGAATTAAACCTAACATTGCAGTGAAGATTTTAAAAGCCGTAAGTGCTTGGACACAAGGGATGAGGATCTAGGAAACCACAGACACCCGACCAGATTACTATACCCAGGAAATTATTAATCACTATAACTAGAGAAAATAATATATTACATGATAAAATCAAATTTAAACAGTATCTCTGCAAAAATCCAGCAATACAAAAGATACTAGAAGGGAAAATCCAACCCAAGGAACTAAAGTCACATAGGAAAACAGGAAATAAATAACCTGAC